AAAGTAAAAACATCTCCCATCCCACTTCCTATGGCAGCTACTAGTCTATTTTTCTGCACCAGAACTCCTTGAGTTTTCTAATATTTGGTGTCTCCAATTCCTTCCCTACATTTTCACTTAAAATCCATTCTAACTAGGCTTAAACCAGCATCATTCCAGTAAAGCTGTTTCAGCAGTTCAAGCCCCATGTTGCACTCTGCTCTGGGCATGAAGCCTACAAAAAAAGGTGAGCATCATAGGTAGGATGAAGACAAGATCATTGGGAGAGAGGTGGTCAGGAAACTGAAAGGCCAGTATGTTTGAAAGATAATTGATACCCAGAGTTGGATAGATGACAGCAATAATGATAGGTAGTAGGACATAATCTAATGACTTATTTACATTAGTAAGCAAAGGAAATCAGAGTAATGTTGAACTGAAGTATTTTTCATAAAACACTATAACCTCTCTCAACAGTATCTCTATCAGACAGTGGATTATTTGACCAATGCATGCAATTCTTGCATCCTCATGTTCTTAGCATTTTCCCAACTGTGACTCAGGTGTGTGCTGGTCATTACTCACATTGCATTTCTAGCCTCTATATGTTCTACTCTTAGTTGAGAATTCATGGTGAAAAGAATCAAACTCTGTTGTTAGGTTGAAAAGCATCAGAAAAGAAAAATCAATGACAGTCTTCAGGGTAATAGTAATGGAATTTTTAACTTGAAAATTACTTGTGAATAGACTTCACAGTCTCGATAGCCACATGCAAATTATATGCTAATATAACTTTAGCTCAGCAAATCATTTTACACAATTAGTTGAGACATTTGATATTGTGCCTACTGCCCTATAAGTATATCTCACTATTTGCCATAAATGAATATTTGAAATACATGTGTAAATAGTATTTTGGTAATACAAGTCATATTTTCCCAGTGATTTGCATAATAATATCAAAAATGCTTCATCTTCACTTTAAATTAATCCTAATTGAGAGTGATAACAGTTTTTCTTCTTAAGTGTCTTTCAGGTAGTTAAATCAATATTTAAATGCACCAGAAGTTCTTATTTTTTAAAATCAGCAATTAAGCATTGTAATGAGAAAAATCAGTCTAAAGAAAAAGAAAAATCATTCTCGAGCCATTAATTTTACATCAGGAGGGACAAGAGAGATTATCTAGTGCAATTCTGTCACATGAGAAAATTCTGAAGCCCAGAACAGAAAAATTAAATACTTTGCCTCATTATCACACATTTAGCTATAATTGCTGATATAGACCTAGAACCTAGATCTTGATAGTTATTCCATATATATATAATTTTATTTTTATAATTTATCTTTTCACAAATAAAATCTTGTCTTTTGTTATCCAAGCTTTTTTGATGTTGTTACATTTATTCCTTGATCACATTGACACTTTTGTAAGTATTCCTTTGTTCATTGTTTGAGAAACTCTAAGGTACTTAACTGCTATTTATTATGTGCTTGATTTCTTTTCTAGATATACTACAGCTATACCTTCACCCAGATATAGTAAAGCAGATTGTTTTTATCTTTCTTAACGAGATTGACAAAATTACTTTTCATGAAAAAACCCTTGCCATTTGTTGATAGAAATTGAAGTTCTCTGATACAAATGTCTATCAGACCCCTTGCTGAAAATTGAGAAGGGGGGAGAAGTGATAGGTACAAAAGTCTCATTTTTTTTCTATAAATTAAAAAAAATGTTGAACTTGATCATCAAAATTTAGATTTACATTTTGTATCGTTGGACCCCTTTTATACATGTTTAATATTAATATGAAGAAATAAAATAATATAAAAAACATGGTAATAAAAGCAGACATATGGAACAATTTTATTTTTTTAACAAAAATATTTTTAAATGCTTGGCATTTTAAAGATAAAAGTTAAAGTTCTAATAATTGTTTTTATGTTCTTATCTGTTATAGTTTTAAGGAGAAATTGTGGTAACTCAAGTTAGATCATTTTACCATAAAATTTGTTGAAAATTAGGAAAATTGTATAAAATAGCATACATGTTTTGAAATGTGCTGTCTTTGGGACATGTTTTAAATATTTTGATAATGTAACCTTTGTTAAATGCTTGGAAACATCAATAAGGGAGACAGGGCATATTTGTAACTAGATTTCCTTCTGCCAGCTCCTGGTTTATAAGTTACTATACTGCTGAATAGCAACAAAAAGACAACAGCCTCAAAATTAAAGGAGTTTAACTTAAAAAAAAAATATTAGATGACAATAGGAGATATTTTTATCAGTAAAGATTATTTTAAGTATTGCTGACAAGGAAATATATCTCATGGAGATTAAAAATACTTGGTAGTATTTTAATATCAATACCATATAAACTAGTTCAGTTTTAAATGCTATAATCCCATGCATCATAAATGAATATTATCAATTTATATACCTAAATGTATTGTTTTTTTCCCATTTAATTTGTTATCAGAGTGTGTATTGTCCTAGAAATCTAATTAATTTGGGGAAATGTATTGCTTGTAAAGTTCTGAGCATTGTTGGTGATTGGCTTGTTTTGTGTTAGTGATAAATAAGGAAAGAGATTAAAATGTATTGGCTTTATGTCTTTGGTTGTTGTTTTTTTCTGATATCAAACCTCTCTACCACTTTTGAAGAGAATCTTACCTCTACTATGGTTACTTTAACAGACTGGGAGAATACGAAATAAATAACTGATTGTATTGGATGAATAGTGGCAACGAAAAACTAAAAACTAATTTGTGTATGTGGTGTTAATAATGTACCTCAGTTAGCAAATTTACTACCAAGCACTTAAGGCAGATTTTATTACTGAACAATTTGGGGCAGAAGGAAAAATGTTTAAGATACTTTTTGTAATGTATTAAATAATAATGGTCTTGGGTGGATTCATTATTGGTGGATTCAAATGAACTGGATGTATTCTTGATCTACCGTTGGCTGAAATTCCTTTCATAATCTGACACCTTGGAGCAGAGTTTACCCGTTGTGCAAATCTAATTGATCCAGATAGGAATTGAATACGCTGCATTCACACAGCAGCAGCATATTCTGAAAGTTAAGCTAGCCAGAACAAATATGTTATTTATTCATATATATTTATGTATTTACATATATTTAAATACCCATATATTTATGAAATAGTCACATCACTGTCTTTACAGAATATCATTTTTATAGAAAGATTTCTTTATTCATGAAACTGGAAAAATGTGACCATGTGATTCAATGTATCTTCATTGAAAATGGAGATATGTGAGAAATAACCATACCGCCAAAGCCTTCAACTGGAGCCATATTGGTTTTGCATGTAACAGCATTCTTTTTTTAAAGAATTCACACTCTGTGTGAATGGGGGAGAGACAGAGAGAGAGAGAGAGAGAGACAGAGTCTGAAGCAGGCTCCAGGCTCTGAGATGGCAATACAGAGCCCCATGCAGCTCGATCCCACAAATAGCGAGATCATGACCTGAGTCAAAGTCAGACACTTAACTGACTGAGCCACCACAGCGCCCCACATATAACAGCATTCTTTTCTCTTGGTTTTCTTTCCTTTTCTTTTTCTTTTTGTTAGTTGCTTTAGGGCTAGCTGTTGCTGTTCAATAAAATATTTGCAGAGATGTGCATATATTTTTATTGAACAACCTACCATTGACTTTGCACACTAAGTAAGCTACTACTTTTCTTAACTTCTTATGTTCTTTAATGTTGCATGTATGCTTCAAATTATATTTCAGTTTTTCTTTAGATCTTTATTCTGCATGTGTGATTGCTTTACTTAGGATCACAATAGTGCAAATACTTTTGTGTTTTTAAAGTCACCACAGCTTTTACAGCATTAGTTACTAAAATATCTGTGAAATAGCTATGTTCCAGATCCTCGTTATCATGGCATTTAATGTTTAGCCATAGCACACATCCGTTATCAAGAATACTAAACTCAGACAATGTTAAACCAGATTTTCTTCATTGTAACTATATTTTCCTTGAGGTGTTTTATAACATTTGTAAAAAAAAATTTTTTTAAGAAGTTCTATGCCTAATGTGAGGTTTGAACTCACAATCCCAAGTTTGAGTCTTATGCTGTGCCAGCTAAGCCTCCCAGCCTCCCCATTTTTCTAAAATATTTTAAAACAGTAACATTAATACTAATATTCATATGAGAGATGATGTCTTCTTAAATTTATTTATTTATTATTTTCCATATACATTTATTTTATTGCTTTCATTTTACAAAACAAAAATTATACTCATCTTCATATGTCTTAAAAGATCAAATTTTTTGGGGCGCCTGGGTGGCTTAGTCGGTTAAGCGTCCGACTTTCGCTTGGGTCATGATCTCACGGCTCGTGGGTTCGAGCCCCGCGTCGGGCTCTGTGCTGACTGCCGGCTCGGAGCCTGGAGCCTGTTTCAGTCTGTGACTCCCTCTCTCTCTGACCCTCCCCTGCTCACGCTGTCTCTCTCTCTCTGTCTCTCCTAGAAGTGAATAAAACATTAAAAAAAAAAAAAAAGATCAAATTTTTTAATCACTATTATTTTAGCAGTTTGTTCTAAGAAAATTAAAACTTTTCTGGAAGATGAGCTCAGGTGATTGGGACACTGATTCAGGTGTACTTGGCATAGCAGTTCATTAACTATGTGTTAATTATCCATGATTACTCCTGAAAAGCTGTAGTGGCTTCATCCTTTAGGTTGCTTCATTAAATCATTAATTTTCTTGTAGGTAACTAAGCTTGACATAATTAAGACATCTCAGTCTCCACAGATTTTTATCTTCCCATGATGTCAAGAACACTGAGCTAGTTAATATAAGGCATTGTAATATATTCCTGGATGTACTGACTTTATATTTTTAAAATATTTATACTATTTTGATTCATTTTATATGTTAGTAATCTCATAAACTTCAATTACTTCCTCCATGTTGTAGCTTAGATTTTGAATTGCCTGTGTAATATGCCCAATTCTGTATTTGAACCACTTCTTACCAACAGTTCTTTGACCCATGGCTACATAAAGTTGCTTCAGTTTATCCAGAACATCATATATGAGGAAGGATTTGATGGATCCAATCCCCAGGTATGGAGTACCTTCAAAGTCTTTTATAATCATGTATATAATGTTGTTTTTAAACTCTCTAGGGGTAAACCCAGAAGGTTTTAGAATAATTAACAGTGAACAAGCTGTTTCCAAACACAGAATATGTAAATAAGCAGGACACAGGCAGCCTTCATTTGATTTTGAATGTGTAGGGTTTTAGTTAAATTCTAAATGGATGCAGAAAAGATGTACAAATACATTGTCAACATAAATTATTTTTAAATATGTATTTGTGGCACCTGAAATAACTAAACTGCCATGTTTTGAAAATTACTCCTAAAATTGCAAGACTTTATTTTCATATCTAAATTTTTTTAAGTTTATTTATTTGGTTTGAGAGAGAGGGGAGAGTAAGCAGGCAAAAGGCAGGAGGAAGGAGAGAATCCCAAGGAGGTTCTATGCTGTCAGTACAGAGCCCAACACAGGGCTCAGTCCCATGTGCCATGAGATCATGAACTGAGCCAAAACCAAGAGTCAGATGCTTAACCAACTGAGTCACCCAGATGCCCCTTATCCCCCTTATCCAGAATTTTCTATTTCTGTCATTCAGTCCTTAATTGAATTACCTTGTAAGAATTAGTTATTTTAAGAATTTATTTCTTGTTATATCATGCTTTAAGTTGTTTCACTGAATAAAAACTGCATTTTTATTTGCTATATTAAAATATTTTATAACAATTAATTCTCTGTAGCTCTGTTTTTAAAAATGCAAGTTTTAAAATTCCCACTATTAAAGATTCCAAATTCCCACTATTAAAGATGTTCTGGTTACTTTAACTTAAACAAAATGAGAGAAATTTTATTTCCAGTTATCATGCCATTTAGAAATATTTCTTGGCAATTTTAATTCCTAAAGCTGCTGAAGATTTTCAATTCATTTATATTATTTTAACAGAATTATTTCCAGAGCACCATTATTTTTATTGAAGAAAGCAAAGAATCCAAAAATCTTATTTTTGGCATTATCAACTACATTTACTCATAATCAATAAATTTTTAAGTATTCTTATGAACTTTACTGCTATATTTAATGTTTTTTCCACAGCAAGATAAATAATTTTTAAATTTGTTTTGATCAATTTAATACAAAGTTGAAAATACTTATATGTGTGGTGAAGCATATACATTTATTTGTAAATGGCTTTTCACATCTGTTACAGTTTTTGTGTTGGTCCTTGGTTTTTAATACAATTTTACCTTGTTTATTGTTGCTCTGATTTTGGTCCTATCTAAGATTTATGGGTACCATGTCCTCCCTTTGGTGGCATTGCCTGTCTGGAGAGGTAAATTGGTCCCTGACAGACACCTCTCCCCATGCGCTGTGGTTACTATGGAAACAGGCATGTCATAACAGTTCCTATGATACTGTGTGCAGAGCTCCTGTTCTTACAGGATAATGACACATCTTCTAAGAGCAAGAAATTTTATAAAATACAAAAAATCAAAGGCAATAGCAAAGAAATACACACATACTTGTATGTATATGTGTATATATATATGTACACATATATATATATTTACATACATACATCCATTCAAAGGATTCTTGATAAGTAAGCTATTATTGGAATAGAATGAAACGTTTGTTTTCTTGACTGTTAATTTGAGTATGAAAAACACCACCATTTTCAATAAATAGTATTTTATTTCATGAAAGTTGGTAAACTGAACTGATTTGTCTCTGAACCAGGTTCTACAACTATTGATTTTATAAAGGTTAAAAAGGTTGAGGTAAGCATTTATATGGTGAATACCAAGAATGCTGAAAATATTTACAACATACCAGTAAGTTATAAAATATATTTCCAATTTTATTGGAACTAAAATATAGCTAGTAAATTTCCATGTCATTATATTATAGAATGTGTCATTTGCTAAATTACTTCACCTATACATCTGTCTCAGAAAATTTAGATGAGTTCAAGAAGCCATAAAAATACATCTATCAAGCACTGCTTCAAAAAATATTTTTATTGAGGGGCACCTGGAGGGCTCAGTCAGTTGAACGTCCGACTTCGGCTCAGGTCATGATCTCGCAGTTCGTGGGTTCGAGCCCCGCGTCGGGCTCTGTGCTGACATCTAGCTCAGAGCCTGGAGCCTGCTTCTGAGTCTGTGTCTCCCACTCTCTCTGACCCTCCCCTACTCTCTCTTGCTCTGTCTCTCAGAAATAAATAAAAAATTTAAAAAAAAATTTATTGAGTCAAAATAATGTTCTGATACTGAAATAAATTCTTCTTTTTAAAAGGAAATTTTCGGAGCACCTGGGTGGCTCAGTCTATTAAGCATCCGACTTCGGCTCAGGTCATGATCTCACGGTTCATGGGTTTGAGCCCCATGTTAGGCTCTATGCTGACAACTAGCTCAGAGCCTGGAGCCTGCTTCAGATTCTGTGTCCCCCTCTCTCTCTGACCGTCCCCTGTTCACGCTGTCTCTCTCTCTCTCTCTCTCTCAGAAATAAAAAACAAAACAAAACAAAACAAAAACATTAAAAGGAAATTTTCATCTTACTTTCTGTATCACAACATTTTCAAGTAAATTTACATTTTCAAATAAACTAGTTTATTTGAAATAGGCTATAAGGAAATGAGTATTATATACTACTGTATAATTATCTTTGTAGTAAGTAAGTAAGTAGTGTAGCTCATCTGTAAAAATATTTGGGGTGGAGATGTTTGCAAATTGCTGTCATAATTTCATTTAAGTTATGATTTTTAAATATTTAAGAACTATACAATAAAAATGAAATTTCAACATTGATTTTACTTAAATATCCAGATTAAATATTTTAGATGTTCTCATAGGAATAAATTTAATACTTATTATTTGGCTTTCAACAAGTTTGTTTTTTAATTTGTTTATGACTCAAAAATTATACTTAAAAAATCTAGATTATGCTTCACAGTGTTCCCATTATTATATAGCATAGCAAAAAATTATATGTCTGAAATGACAGAAAATTTATAAAGCAGTCTTTGGTTTTGCACTTACTATTATATTTTTAAAATGTAAATGTATTCTGGGGCACCTGGGTGGCTCAGTAGGTTGAGTGTTCGATTTTGGCTCAGGTCATGATCTGAGTTTGTAAGTTCAAACCCATGTTGGGCTCTGTGCTGGCAACTCAGAGTCTGGAGCTTGCTTTGAATTCTGTGTCTCATTTTCTCTCTGCCCCTCCCCCACTTGTGCTCTGTCTCTCAAAAATAAATAAATGTAAAAAAATTTTAATAAAAATAAATAAAATATAAATGTATTCCCAAGGTGCCTGGGTGGCTCAGTTGGTTGAGCGCCCAACTTCAGCTCAGGTTATGATCTCCCAGTTTGTGGGTTTAAGCCTGGTATCGGTCTCTGTGCTGACAGCTCAGAGCCTGGAGCCTGCTTCAGATTTTGTGTCTCCCCCTCTATCTCTGCCCCTCCCTGCTCACACTCTGTCTCTCTGTCTCTCTCTGTCTCAAAAATAAATAAACATTTAAAAAAATTGTTAATATATAAATGTATTCCCTATGTTGAAGTATCATGCTCAAATATGTTTTCATGTGCTAAGTACCTACCTCACTTAAATATCTTATTCATTCTTTGGCTTAATATTGTTCTTTTTATATATGTATATTACATACACATATAATATATATATGTGTATGTGTGTGTATCAGCGTATCTGTCATAGTCACTAAACTTCTATAGCTCTCCTGCACCTATCAGCATTTTTATTATAAACTTAGCAAATCTTTTTGGGGTTTTGTTTGTTTGTTAGTTTTTTTAAATGTTTTATTTATTTTTGAGAGAGAGATAGAGACAGCATGAGCCAGGGAGGGTCAGAGAGAGATGGAGACACAGAATCCAAAGATAGGCTCCAGGCTCTGAGCTAGCTGTCAGCACAGAGCCCAACCGGGGCTCAAACCCATGAACCATGAGATCATGACCTGAGCCTAAGTTGGATGCTCAAAAGACTGAACCACCCAGGTGCCCCTAGCAGATCTTTTTTGATACGATAGTTGGTAATGGTGACTGGGTTAAAATACTTTTTTTCTGAAATGTTGACAGGGAAACCTGTTGGTTTAAGGGAGAAAACATTTTCCCCATTAGAATTGTAATAATAAGTTTCCAATTATTTCCATGCACCAGGTTTTGCTAAGGTCTCCTTACTTTGCCCAGAAATTTTACCAGATTGATGGGGCGCCTGGGTGGCTTAGTCCATTAAGCGTCCGACTTTCACTTAGGTCATGATCTTGTGGTTCTTGGGTTAGAGCCCCGCGTCGGGCTCTGTGCTGACTGCCAGCTCAGAGCCTGGAGCTTGTTTCAGTCTGTGACTCCCTCTCTCTCTGACCCTCCCCTGCTCACGCTGCCTCTCTGTCTCTCTCTCCTAGAAATAAATAAAACATTAAAAAAATATATATATATAAAAAAGGAATTTTACCAGATTGCTAAAGAAAGAATTTATAGAGGTGCCTGGGTGGCTCAGTCACTTAAGCTTCTGACTTGTGCTCAGGTCATGATCTCATGGCTTGGTTTTGAGATTAAGCCTCCATTGGGCTCTGTGCTGACAGCTCAGAGCCTGGATCCTGCTTCAGATTCTTTGTCGCCCTTGCTCTCTGCCCTTCCCCCACTTGTGCTCTGTTTCTCAAAAAATAAATTAAAAAAAAATTTTAATTAAAAGTAAAGAAAGCATTTATAAAACATTTGTTCAGTTAGAATAACCCTAACAGTAGAATTTGTTATAAATACCTCTCTGGCAAACACTTATTGATAATCATCATAGGTTTTATTTAATGGATTTTAAATGCTCTTTTCCCAAGAAATATCAGTCACTTACTATCAGTAGTCTTGAGTTCCAGATAGTCATTTGTTCAATTTTTTTTATTTTTTTCAACATTTATTCATTTTTGAGAGACAGAGCACAAGTTGATGAGGGGCAGAGAGAGAGGGAGATACAGAATCTGAAGTGGGCTCCAGGTTCTGAGCTGTCAGCACAGAGCCTGACGCAGGGCTCGAATCCACCAACCGTGAGATCATGACCTGAGCCGAAGTTGGACGCTTAACCAACTGAGCCACCCAGGTGCCCCAGAAGTAAAAGAGGTATCCTGTTGGTTAACTAAACTTAATGTGTTTATCTCCCCCTCAACACACACACTTCTTTAGAAAAAGCAGAAAAACATTTTAAGAATAGGAATCCAGAATCTTGGTTCACCTTTGTGGGGAGATGACATTTGCTGTACGGAAAACTGCGACAACAGCCACAGCCTTACAAAGTTCTTGTATGTCCTCCGAGGTCTTCTGCGAACCTCTCTTTCAGCCTGTATCATCACAATGCCAACACATCTCATCCAGGTAAGAGTCTTTCCAAAAGTTCTTTCCCCTAACTAGTACTACATAATGAAGAGCAATATGTAAACACTAGGAGTCTGAGTCTGATAAATTATCTTCATATGCCATTTAAGTAAAAGAGATTTCAGAGATGCCAGAGAGCAAAATGTTCTTTACTTTAGATGTTAAATTGTTGTGTATTTGTGGTTTTAATATACAGTGAGTATATGGTAAGTCCATCTTTAGTAATGTTATTATTTTTTTCTTTGATTTCTCATAAATGCATAGTATCATGATGTCAGGTTGATTTTTTACCAATATCTTTTCATTAATCATTAGATTAATCATAAAGATCTATGATCTGGACAAAGATCCTAAAGAAATATTTATACACCCATAATCAAGCATTATTTATAATAGCTAAAATGTGGAACCAATCTGAGTATCCATTAACAGATGAATTGGTAAGATGTGACCTATATTGCAGTGGAATATGTGGAATATTATTCAGCCTTGAAAAGGAAGGAAATTATGGGGTGCCTGAGTGGCTCAGTCAGTTAAGTGGCTGAGTTCAGCCCAGGTCATGATCTTGTAGTTCGTGGCTTCAAGCCCCTGGTTGGGCTCTGTACTTACAGCTCAGAGCCTGGAGCCTGATTCAGGTTCTGTCTCTCTCTCTCTCTCTCTCTCTCTCTCTCTCTGCCCTTCCTCCTATCGTGCTCTGTCTCTCTGTCTCTCAAAAAAGTGAATAAAAACGTTAAAAAATTTTAATGAGAAAAGAAAAGGAAGGAAATTCTGACATGCTGCAACACTGATGAACCTTGAGGACATTATCCTAAGTGAAATAAGTCAGTCATAAAAAGACAAATACTGTGATTCCATTTATATCAAGTACTTAAAGTAGTAAAAATCACAGAAACTGAATATGGTGGCTACCCTGGGCTGGGGGAAGAGGGAATGGCAAGTTATTTAATAAGTACAAAGTTTCAGTTTTACAAGATGAAAACATGTCTGAAACGGTTGGTGGTGGTGGTGGCACAACATCATGAATGTACTAAATAACACTGAATTATATGCTTAAAAGTGTTTAAAATGGTAAATTTTATGTTACATATATTTTCCCATGTTCAAAATTTTGAAGAAAAAAAGGGGGGGGGGCACCTTGGTAGCTCAGTCCATTGAACCTCTAACTCTTGATCTTGGCTCAGGTCATGATCTCACAGTTCATGAGTTCAAGCCCTGTGTTGGGCTCTATACTGACAGGGTGGAGCTTGCTTGGGATTCTATCTCCCCTTCTGTCTGCCCCTCCCCTGCTTGTGTGCATTCTCTCTCTCTCTCAAAATAAACACTAAAAAAATCCTTTTAAAAAAAGAAAAGACGAAAGCTGATCTGAATAGGACAAGTCCCCTTCTTCCCTTGCTGTTTCTATTTATAAACCTCCTGAAACTACAGTCTTTAGGAAAAAAGGTCTATCTCCGCAGATAGAAAAAGAGGGATCTTTGTAAGATTTGCCTCATCAACTCAAAAAGCCCTTTTCTTAAGAGTGTTCAAAAGGCTGGCGCACCTGCCTGGCTCAGTCAGAAGAGCATGCAACTCTTGATCTCATGGTCATGAGTTCAGGCCCCACACTGGGTATAGAGATTTACTAAAAAATTAAAACTTATTTTTTTTTTTACAAAAAGTATTCAAGAAGCGAGTTTGGGACAATTTTCATCATTATTGTTATTTTATAGGTAATAGAGAATCTACAATTACATCGTATGTTTTTCCACAATATTATTAAATATATTTTTATAACATCATAATATTAGAAATAATATAAATGAAAAAATCACCTGCAGTGAATAGAATAGAATGTGAAAGTCAAAATAAACTAAATCACTGAAAAAATTTTTTCTAATGTACATACTAAAACACTTTGGTATGAAATGACTTTTGGGGCGCCTGGGTGGCTTAGTCGGTTAAGCGTCCGACTTTCGCTTAGGTCATGATCTCGCGGTTCGTGGGTTCGAGCCCCGCGTCGGGCTCTGTGCTGACTGCCGGCTCAGAGCCTGGAGCCTGTTTCAATCTGTGACTCCCTCTCTCTCTGACCCTCCCCTGCTCGCGCTGTCTCTCTCTCTCTCTCCTAGAAATAAATAAAACATTAGAAAAAAAAAATTTAAAAAAAAAAAAAAAAGAAATGACTTTTGTAGCAAACAGTTTTGAGCTTTGTTTTCCTTTACTTCTCTAGGAAGACTCAATAATAATAATGATGGCAGCTAACAAATACGAAATACTTAAAGTCAAGATCTTACATTTCTTATAAAATTCTTATATAATTACTGTTGTAATCTCCATTTTACCTGTAAGGAAACTGAGATACAGAAAAATTAAGAAACTGGATCAATATTTAATACCTGAGAAACCATGGTTTGAACCTAGAAAACTGGGTTCCAGCACCACATACTAGAATATGTAACACGTTTTTATTCTGAAACTCATTTTCTCAAAACTAGTAGAGCTCATATTTTTTTCTCTTGGAGTTAGAAAGGACACGGGGCTTATCTGAGCTAGGCCTCTGCCTTTGGATGAGTAAAGTATCATCCCAGTTTTGCAACTGAGGTCCAAACAAAATGACCTGTTCAAGCAAATCACAGAAACAAAGACTACCCTTGGTAAAATCTCACAGGTCTATGCAAACTCTACATTTAATTAAATTAACAGAAAGAAACACTAACAGAAATTAAATTAACAGAAATAAAAGGCATAATTGAAATATGGAGTTTGCCAAGGAGATAAAGAAATGCCACTTAAGTTAATTAACATTAATTAAATTAACAGAAATATAAGATATAATTGAAATTTGGAGTTTTCCAAGGAGATAAATGCCATTTTAAGAAGCTGTATCTAGCATACTGTGTAAGGGTTAAAGCTGAGACATTGTATAAGGCCTATTAAGTTTGTGAAGCATGTCATAATCCTTGAACTTTCCTTCAATCTACAAGAGAAAGACTTTGTAGTTTACTCATATTTGCTTTTAAGAAAAAGTCACTATTTTAAGTGACTATTTAAAATTTATAAGATAGTCCAATGTAGCACCATATTACTTCCTGCACAAGTAGAGAGAGCAGTGTAATTGACAGCATAGCCCAATACATTGTCAGTGACTTGTGCTTTTGAGCTTTCTGAGGGTTACCATAGCAACTTTCTGCTATTCAAGTTAGCATTCCTCTTTAATAATTACAAACTTTGAGCAAAAGAAAAATTAGATCTTAATCAGAAAAAAACTTTGACCTTTCACATCAAGATATCTTTTTTTTTTTTTAAGTAAACTCTAACCCCAACATGGGACTCAAACTCATAACCCTGAGATCAAGAGTCACCTACTACCCCAACTGGTGCCTCTCACATCAAGATTTCTTAAATCCAAATATTTCTCTCTCAGCAAACTGTGGAGAAAACTTGCATTTCTTATAAATTTCATTATTGAAGCTTTGTTTTATTATCTCATTCATTTATTTCTTCTATACTGTTTTTGAATGACTGATAGTGCTATCATCCACTATATATATCAGTGGAAAATTTAAAATGAATGAGAAACACTGGTTCCTTTCAGGCACCTTACTCTATAGTGGAGAGATAAATATTAAAAACTCATGTTACAATCCAAAGATGAAATCAAGAAAACAGTTGCATTCATAATAGCATCAAAAAGAATGAAATACTTATAATTCTAACAACAAGATGTACAACTTATACTTTGAAAACCATTAAACATTGTTGAAAAAAAATTTTAAAGATATAAATAAATGGAAAAACTTTCCGGGCTCATGGATCAGAATGTTCAAAATTAGTATGACCATTGTGTCCAAACTGATCTACAGATCCAGCACAGTCCCTATCAAAATCCCAGCTGACTTTTATGGAGAAATCTACAAGCTGATTCTATTCTTTTTTAATGTATGTGTTGTTGTTTTTTTTTTAAAATTTCTGAGAAAGAGAGACAGCATGAGCAGGGGAGGGTCAGAGAGAGAGGGAGACACAGAATCTGAAGCGGGCTCCAGGCTCTGAGCTAGCTGTCAGCACAGAGCCCGATGTGGAGTTTGAACCCACAAACTGTGAGATCATGACCTGAGCCGAAGTCGGATGCTAAACCAACTGAGCCACCCAGGCACCCCTGCAAGCTGATTCTAAAATGGCTATGGAATTTCAGAGGACTTAGAATAGCCAAAATAATCCTAAAAAAAAGAATAAGCTAGGAGAGCTTATATTTCTCAATTTCAAAACTTTCTAAGAAACAATGGTAAAAGACAGTGTAGTACTGTCTTAAGAATAGGCATATAAATCAATGGAATAGAATTGAGAGTCCAGAAATAAACCCATATATCTATGGTCAACTGATTTTGACCAGTGTGCCAAGACCACTCAATAAGAAAAGAATAGTCTTTTTCAACAAATGGGATGGAACAACTAGAGAGTCACATGCAAAGGAATGAGGGTGGACCATTACTCCACAGCATGTACAAAAATTAATGCAGAATGGATCAGAAACCTAAATGGAACAGTGAAAACTATAAAACTCCTGGGAAAAAACTTTGGGAAAAATCTTCATAATCTTAGATTTGGCAAAGGATTCTTAGATATGACACCAAAAGCACAAACAACAAAAGAAGAAGTAGGCAAATGACACTTAATCAAAATTAGAAACTTTTTTTTTTCTTTAAAGTAGCTTCCACACCCAAAATGGGGCTTAAACTTACAACCCTGAGATCAAGAGTCTCATGCTCTACCAAGTAAGCCAGACAAGCACCTCAAAATAAATAAAGTTGCTCAGTCAAGCATCCCAACTTTGGCTCAGGTCTTGATCTCGTGGTTTGTGAGTTCGAGCCCCACATCAGGCTCTGTGCTGACAGCTCAAAGCCTGGAGCCTGCTTCAGATTCTGTGTCTTCCCCTCTCTTTGCCCCTCCCCTGCACAAGCGCTGTCTCTCTATCATAAACGTTTAAAAAAAATTACATTCAGATACCACTTCACATTCTCTAGGAAGGG